ATCAAGCTGATTGTTATTTCAGGCCAAAGCTGCCCGTTTTTACTCGATGAACCCCATCGAAAATAGTACTCTTCGATAGAGAATTTAATTCTGCGTCTAACACAATCAAGTAGAAATTCAACACAGGTCTGAGAGTACATATCAGCAGGATATCCCCAGTTCCCATATATTCTCTTTTATTTCCATTATGCCCCTGAGTTTTTCTGTTATTCCCTGAGTTGTAAAAGAATGCATACTGGCATGTCATGACTCTATTGGCCCCTCCTTCCTCTTCCTTGGATATGCCCTTACCTCTCCTGTTTAACACTTTTCTTCCCGCAAGAATTGAATCACGACTGTACCACTTTCATTTCCTAAAACAAACATGCGGCAGGTTTCTATTAATTTTGTGTTTGTGTTTTCAGACAAATCATAATGGCTTTAAGTCAGTTCCAAACATCATCCATTACATCAAAAGGAACTACTCGTACAAATGCGATTTCGCACGTTGTCTTGATAGAACATGGTTCATCTAAAGTGCATCTAGCGCCATTAGACAAATGTGATATAGATGATGTGAAGAAAACAGTAACATATAAATTTGGAAATCACTTAATATCTGGTGATCTTGAATGTGTTGGTAAGTGTTTATAATCGCGGTTTTATTGACTGAAAACATGTACCTCTGTTCATATTTTTCAGTGCTATTTTAAACATTGTAGGATCAAAGCAAGTATGCATCACAAGAATAAAAAAAATGAATAATGACACGTCTGAATTCGAATATTCTGATTTTACAAATACTACCACACAAAAACCACAACAACAAAAAAACCATAATACGAACAGTCACTCACCAACATTTATGAAAGGTAAATAATTAGTTTTATGCATTTGATGAAACTATCGTTTGAACAAGAGCAGATACTTTTTTCCGTATTATTATAGTACAGAGACAATGAGTGTGCTGGCTTTATTGTATATGAATGTAGACAAGTTCATAACATCTCGCAAATAACTAGCTTCCCTTAAGGTTACTTCATTCTTCTTTGTTCTGTCCAATTTAGTTCAAAAGGTTAAAAAATATAATAACAAGAAACAATTATCATCAGCTCATGGTATTAAACGATCTGTATTTTGTTCAAGTATGCACAGAATACTGTATGCTTATAGTAAATTATCTATTTTCTGAAATGATGTTTTTTCCTGTCTAGATTCAACAAAATCAAATAAAGCCTTAACCAAATAAAAATGGAGAGAATCTTCCACCAATTGATGAAACTGTTCCCATGTTTACAAAAAATAAAATGATAAAATTAGTACCAGAGTCATCATTGCCATTAACTGAAATATCATCACAATTAGCCATTGACACTGATTCGCAGTCGCATAACAATGTGACGGCAACAGTATCAAAACCAGCAACAGTTTCAAATGGTAAGTTTCATCTTGTATATATTATACGATTCGAGCATTGTTTTTATTGAGACCTGTTTACTTGATAGTTCTTGAAGATTTAACCTTTTTAAACACCTTGGTAAATGACACTAACAATTATCTTGGTCAGCGAGGTATGCGCTAACCTTTCTTTTACGAGCTATTGTTGGTTTTGTTATCTTTTATTGATATGTAAAAGAAATCGATATTACTTTCTTTCAATGACTTAATAAGATTCCTGTTTTTACTTTAGATGTTTCTATGAGTCAAACTGGTTCCACCATATCATCAGGTGCCACAAATCGAAATGAACAATTACGAACAGCAGGTATGTAGAATGTATGAAACACAGAGAAAATATTACATTTGGTATAGATACTTAGACTTTAGACTTTTTTTTGTAATGGTGTTGGATCAATATCTATCAGTATACAAGGTTGAGATGTTAGGTTGGGCGAAGTACGCATGAGAGGCTATACCAAATGTAATATTTTCTCTGTGTTTCCTA